TATGTATTTTTTTTAGTAAAATTTAATATTATACAGACTGTAACGATTTTAACATATGTACAAAACTCATTATATATAACATGTACATATATATAATGTGTAATTATATTCTTATTATTTAATGAAATTAACAAATATTCATTTATTCATGCACTCAATTCTGGCCTTTCGCTTTTTAATTCTAGTCATATTTATAATAAATATTAATTGACTAAAAATCTTATAATAAAAGTACTTAAAAATCTTTTTATAAGTATTTTTTAAGTGGAAGGCCAAAATAGGAATAACATACATTCTTAAGAGACAGTTTTGAATCATACATGAAAATAGTTTTTAATTTTACTCCATCGCGCACATATTACTGTATCTATGTATAATTACTGCATCATTATAGTGTCTTGTTCCCTTCACATTTTACATCACTCCTTGTATTTACAATCTATTGATATATCAATTATCCACATTGCTATATATTTATATGAACTACTTTCCATTTACTTTTTCATATATATATATATATATTTTTTTTAAACAATTACCTTTAAACTATAATAATCAACAATTGATTAAAGTTATTAATAGATGGTAAAAAAAAAATGCAACATGTGTTTGTGGCACAGTAGTTGATTGTTGCATTGTTTTAAATAAAAAAAAAGATGTTATTTATGACAATATAAGATATATATATATATAATGAATATGATGTGTGTTACAATATAATTAAATGAATATATTTTAAATATTACCTGCACCTAAGAAATAACTAAAACTATGTTAACTATGTTTAAGCTATATAGATTATAAGATTAACAAAATAAATTAATAAAATACACAATGAATATAACAAATGACATGAATTTATGAGTGTATATGCAATACAGGTGTACTAATTAAAATTTAAATCAAATCTTTAATAAATATTAGGTACTTAGGTACAGATATAAAAATAATTTACTGTTTATGAAATATAAAAAGAATTAATTGAAGCTAATTTTTTGTGTAAAATAATTGTTCTAAAAATGAAAGAAATAATGCATCTTTTTTTTTTTTTATAAAAAAAAATCTTTTTTCATAATAAAAGAAGTTAGGAATTTGTTTTGAAATTTTTGCTAAAATATGACTTTAAAATAAGCTGAAAATGTTAGTGTTTTATAATTATCATCTCAACATGTATATGTATACATTAACATTTTACACTATACAGAAGTTCAATTGTAATCCCGATTGTATAAAATATTTTCTAAAACATGTTGGTAAAATAATAATCTTCCCCAAATTTAAATTTGTTCCTAGTAAAATTATTTTATATTATACTGGAAGCCAGTCTATTTTTATTCATTGTTATTAATAATGCATTTTTATCTTCCAGCTATTACTGAATAGTATTAAAAGACGGAACAATGCTGCACTTACATAATATTTCAGGACCTTCAACATGTTTGTTAAAAAAATTTTAATTATTTATCTTTTACCGACAATACTTAGTTACATAAATAGAGTTTATAGTTCTTAGTAACAAAGAACACGATTTTCTTGGAAAATATCATCACAAACTAGAAAAATCGCTGTTTTCCTATATTTCTTGTTAAGAATCTTCTAAAGATTACATGATATACAATCGGTAATATGGCATTATAGTTACAGATAAATTAACTATATAAAATGACATTTTGGTAATGTTAAAGAACAAATTAACTCGATGTTCTATGTTTAAAAATAGATTCGAAATTGCATACACGAACTGATTAAAACGCCAAGGCACAGTTTGAGTATTACATACTGTTCTTTGGATTTATTAAGAGATATTAAAAGATAAATGCTTTTTCGATGTAATTGAATAATTAAAATTTAGAAGAATCTAGCAATACTTTCTCTGTTTTTTATAATCGTGCTTTGCTTATATATTATTAAAAATTACTATTTTACTAAATATTGCCATATTATCAATATTGTTACATATTATTAACATTTTCTTTAGAAGTTTCTTAATATATTTATAATGTATTTGAAATCAGTCTATCTGATGCAATCACGTAGCAGTAGAAGTATGATTATGTATATTAACACTAACTTGGGGAATGAGAGGAGATGCGAGTGGTTTGGGTGTAGTGGTATCAGGAATTGGAATTGAAACTGCAGGAGGTACTGGAGAATGTTTTTTAGCTCTTTCCTGTTGCCATGGTTTTGCATGATCCTTACTTAATCTTTCACTTAGTGCTTTTAATGCTATTTGCCTAAAAATTATTATCAGTTATAATCTATAAATATTACTGTCTTAAAATTAATTTTGAAATTATTACTAAATTAATTGCTCTTTTTTTTACTTTATTATGTGTATTTCTTAATGAATAAGAAAAAAAATCAAACCTTCTTCTCTCACTATCATGTGGATCGATACCAGGAAGATTTATAATGAGACCAGGTGGAGCATTGGACATGTCAAATCTTCTAACTACTTTTCTACAAATTCCAATTCGTACAAAAAAGCCATGTACTGTGTTACTTACAACTGCTATTGGTGGTTGTAAGACATTTGGAAAGAAACTGTAATCAAATTTACATGCAAAAGATTAAGAACATTCTACTTAATTTCAAATTTTTAAATAATATTAAAATAAAATTTACCTTGCAAATGTAAAATTATCTGCCATATCACCACGTGTACCATTGTTGTGTTTTTGATAGAATCTAAGATATATCCATGATATTAATATACCACTCAGAAACATAGTTGGATGAGTGCCTTCTAGTAATCCAAAAAGCCATAATATCATTCCCATGACCCAAACCATTAATGGTATATTTCTATTTGTAATTTTCCCAATTGGTGTTTTGACTAAAATATGATCTGGCATTATTTGTTTTACAGCTACTGTGACACCTATAAATAAAGATAAATAATAACATCATTAGTTAATTATATTAAAAATTAATGTAAATGATTTTCTTTAAATAGCATTACAATGTTGTACTATATACGTTATATATGTACCCATTATATATGTAGCATACGATGTGTATAATAACAACAAAATCTAATCTTATACAAAGAATGTACCTGCAATATATCCAGTTAAACCGTGAATGTGTATATCAAATAACAAATCAGGATCATTGGTGCACATATAGAGGAATAAATAAAACAAAGCGGACAGTACAGCGACGCCGAAATTTACGATTGCGAAGAAAGTCATCATTTCCATCGCGCCCCATAATGGTTCAATCAATTTGCCACAGAGGCCTACCGTCACGATGTCCACGCACACTTCCCAGAAATGTATCTCAAGGAAACAGAAAGTAAACGCTGTCCAGATCCAAAAAGCTGGAGGCAGTAGATAACCTGGTGTCACGCTCAGTAGACGTACCGTTTCCGTGGAGAAAGAAAGGCAATAGGAAAACAGGACGACTACGCATATGAATTTGACACTGGTGCTAGTGTTTCCTAAAAGGGCAGCGAATTGTTGCCTCAGATAGGGGATATTTCTTCCCAGGCCCTTTATCGCTGCCATTTCTATCGGGCAGCCCTCTTAACCTCTTTGAGTCACAGAGCCACTTGCACTATGACTTGACGTTTGCTGCATGTGTCAGATGCATTCACTTCCTTCTTCACACGTTTACCAATGTAATGTGAAGTATAATTTGTAAACATAAAAAAAAAAATGTATATATACTTCGAACATTACCGATAAGAGTAATCGTGCATTTTTTTATATTTGTAGTACAATAAGCGAAATATTCGTGATATTGTTACTTATAATTGTACACTTGGATATTTGTCTTTTGTTTTTCATCGATCAATAATTGACGTTCGACATTTTTAAACATTTTTTTGGAGAGTTTGTATAAATTGTTTTCACACCAAAAAAAATTAATTATGGCAAAGTTCAAGAGTAACTATGTGTGAAATCTGTCGTATTCATGATTACTCCGTAAACGTTCACGAATGTTAGAACGTACATCATACAGATAATTCGAAGAAAAAGAGGATATTAATATGTAAATTGTTACAAGTTGATCTAAACAAAAATCTTTATGATGTGTGTCTTCAAATACCGACAAAAAGCAGATAACGTTGATTAATAAATGCCTGGAGTTTGTCCACGTTGCAATCGCGAGGTTTTCTTCGCAGAAGAGAAATTAGCACTTGGGAATGTTTGGCACACGTTTTGCTTCTCTTGTCGTTAGTATCGTAAATTTTTATCAGAGGATCGAAGATCCAAGTCAATTACGCATCCTCTCGTAATGTTTTCTTTCATTATTCGTTCATAAGCCAAACTTGTTTAAACTTGACTTTCAATACTCCATAGGTAATTGTAGAAAATTACTGAATAGTTGTAACGTAGTGACGCATCTCGGTGAATTGTTTTGTAAGAATTGTTACGTTCGTCTGTCGACTGCAAATCATGAAATCAAAGAGACACAGCATTCGCCAGTGATCTTGACGACGGAGAGGTCGTTGAATTGTCACTGTTGCGATAGAGAAAGTTCGATCGGTAACGCATTACTAAATAGAGATCAGTATTATCGATCCGACAAGTGCAGACTTCGCGGCGGAGGTAGCGAAGCCGAGGAGACAAATATTTGCCTTGGCAAAGAAAAAGGGCGTTTTTTGGAGAACGAGTGTACAGATCTAAATGTCGTCAATTCGATGATAACAATTTACGATACACCACCGAGTCCTACCGCAGTAACCACTTGGTATAATCGGCAACATTTTAAGTTCCACAGGTTTAAATTTATTTTCGATACGTAATTCCACTTTTTCTGGCCATACTGAATTTTAACTTTTAAAAAACGTTTTGTTAATGATAACGCTCTTGTTGAAATAGTACGTTGTCTTTGGAATCGCAGAAGAATAACACTGTCGCGAAAGATTGCCGATTTGAGGCGCAGAAACAGGAAACAGATCAATTTGAGTCAAAGACTTCGTTCAGTAATAATGAAGTCAACATTACAGAGGCTCAATTAAGGTATATTAAATTTTCTGAATCTTCCGCACCTTCTTTCAGACTTCTGTAAGCTATTTTTGAAGAAATGTTTAGCCCTAAGCTCAAAAGTAATTGGATACGTTAAATTAGCGTTTGCGTTGAATCTGCATTTACCACGTTCCATTGCAAACAGTGTCTGTCGGTAAGATATCGATAGTTTCAAACTTTGCAACTGTTAAGTAGTAAACTTAACTATTTGGCCACTGTGTTATGCATTATGAAATTTTAAACATCTGTATTTTTTCTACATTATTTTCGAGCACTAGTGTAACGATAATTTGTCAAAATAAGGCTTTCTAAGCGTAGATATTTCCAGCACAGACAAAACTCAAGTGACAATCATCAACCGGGATAATAAAATTAACGAATACGACCCGGTGTGCGAATTTAACGGCAGTAACCACTTCATTATTCCGTCAAGACGAAAATTTGCGTATCCGCCGGTACCACCGCCTCGCATCCCGTTGCCATCCCGACGGCGAGTCTCGTTCCACGACGTCGTTTTCGGGGACATGCGCGACGATCATCAGAATCGTGTGACGAAAATGCAGAATGTTCATCGTGGGCCCTGTTGCAATAACGATGACAGACAGGAGTGCAACAACTCTTACGATATTTGGCAAGCGGACGATTCGGTTGGTAAAAACGACGGCGGATACGAAAATGTTAACGTAAATCATACCGAAGATAGTGGCAGAATGCATTTTGAGAAAAGCGCGTCGGACTGCGACGAAGAAGACACGCCAAGTAAACGCAATGGCAACGAGGGGAATCGTGAAGAAAATCGTTGCTGCGTCGAGGACAATTCAGAATCGCGCTCGTACAGGATAACGAACGAGAAAGACGATGCATCGTCGACGGAAGATACGACGGCGTACGGCCATCAAAGTGGTCCGTATTCGTCGAATGAGTTTGATGAAAATGAACGAATGCGGGGAGGATGCTCTGGATCGTGTGGATCTCGTCTCAGATCTTCGTGTGGGACAGCTAAAGTTGAAACTGCTTGTTTTTGTAAAAGTAAAAAGAAAAACTGCGTTCTATAATAGTATGATAGACTCTTGCTTAACTTGATCTTTGTTGTTACACACATTTTATCCTAACAAAAATTTGATTGGTCTTGAAGGAAGACTTAATAACCGAGAGTTCACTCCAACAGGCAAAGATCATTTACTTACAAACTAGTAGTGCTAATCAAAATTGTAATTCATTTTAGGAGAGCCAGAACAGTGTCGTAACATTGTGACGTCTTGTACAACTTGTTCATCTAATGTTCAACCAATCATCGAGAGACGCTGTTGCTGTTCGTCATCGACTGAACGGCCAATTTGCAAGAAACCGATCATTAGATGTCGTCAGTCGTGCGAACCTCAAGCAACCGGAGGCGGATGTTGCGGAGGTGGATGTCGCGGTGGTTGCGGAAAACCTGGACAAACGTGTTTACCTGCGAAACCTTGCGTTGCACCATCTTACCGACCGTGTTCACCCTGTTCTTCACCACGATCCTATCATCCACAAGTAATTTGTTATTGCGGTCGAAAATGTGGAAATTGTTGTGGAAGTGGCGGTAGCACGTGTTGCTGCCGGTAAGATCATTTTAATATTACCGCCTTGTATCACTTTATGGTACGCTAGTTGTGTGGTTTTTCTTTATGAAGGCCGAGAAGCCCAGTATGTCGAACCAGAAGATGCTGCAGTACCGACAGAGCAAATCCCATTGACCAAGGATGTTGCCGACCGAAAACAGCTTGCGAATGTCTCGGCGGAGGTCTTGATTGTCAGCGCTGTGGACGAAAAGTGTATCAAGCTGAGATGCAGGTAATTTTGAATAATTTGAATAGTTAATGGCTTTCATTCGATTGACGATAAAACATGTTGAATGTTGTTCAATGCCGTTCAAGATTGTGTCCGGCACGCCATTTCATAATACTTGCTTCAGCTGCTATTGCTGTAGGAAACCTTTGGAACCGTTAACGTATCAGGAAAATTGTGGGGAGATTTATTGCAAACGTTAGTTAAATCAAGCTTTGTAGTCTTGCTCATTCTTTCTTACGATTATTAATTAGTGATATAATAATCGATTTTTATATTTCATATCGCTATTTAGAATGTTACGTTCGAAATTTCGGACCTCAAGGATATGGGTATGGCGTGGGACCAGGTACATTACAGACTCCCATGTAAAGTTATTGCACAAGATTAGTAAACCTCATTATATTTCAAATGTCGCTTGATAACTTATAAATCACTTGATAGTTTATAAAGAGAGTTTTTTAATAATTTGTTAAAAAATAATTTTTAACATCACTTTACTTCCCTGATATTTAATCAAATTGCAAGTCAGGAAGGATTGCCAAATGTCGATACTAAAATTTCGAAGAATATCAGGAAACTTATTATAGCCAGTAAATTTACGACACCGATAAAAAGATTTAAACTAATATTCAAAAAAGAATGTGAAGACTTCAACTAGAAAAAAAGCAAGGAAAAGAAAACTAATCGTAATAGTATTTGTGATGTTGATATTCCGCTGATAAAGAACGAAAAGAGAAAACACGAATATCTCAGGATTTTGTGCAGCTATTTCAAGAATAATACCAATGTATTCACGAATTCGCGAACGGATAAACCAGGATAAGGAGAATGGTTATTTCTTCCCGGAAAATAAAAAAAAAAAAACACACTTGAGGAAGATCACACACTTCGCAAAACGGAGAAGGAAACGAAATAAGGCGATTTAACGGGTAGTTTTATTGGTAAAAATAAAGACAGAGAAGGAGAAGAAGGAACAAAGTTGGACTCTGTGAAAACGCAGGGAACGAAGCGAAAGCAAAGGTATGAGGGAGAAAGGGAGAAAAGGTGAACGAGAATGAAAAAGAGAAAAAGATGAAGGAAGAAAGAGTGAGTGGTTGGTTTATTGAGTCTCTCCTCTTAGTGGATTGCGGAACGCGGAACGTACGCGGCACTGCTGGCTAGAGGGGCGTTTATATAGCTTTCAAGCGCAGGAGCTTAATCTAATTTCAAATATAAATCTGTTCTCCCTCCCCGTTTTCCTTCTCTTTCTCTTTCCGCCTTCGTTTCCTTCCTTCGACCGGCCCCCCCCCCCTCCCCATCCATATAGCAGCGTGCTCGCCGGCTTATATTATCCAGCTGGCTACGAATAATCTCTTTCGCTCTACCTATTAACGTTACGAGACACGCCGATTTTACTTGACTTTGGCGAATTATTAGTCGAAAAATGGAACTGTCGCCTCGTCTGCCGCGATAAGCACATATGCAGTTTATTGAAATTTATTTAATTTTATTTAATACACATTTGACAGAACTTAAAAGATATACTAACGTGGATGAAATCGGCATTCTCTAATTGTAAGTTTCGGTATTTTCACACATTTCAAATTTCTAGATGTTTTAAGTGACGCGACATATTTAAGCGTGGATGGTTAAATTTTGATTCACCTTATTTGAAAATGAAAACTTTATGTAAAGACGGATGGAGATAATTGGAAAATAATGAACAAAATAAAAAGCGGCAGGTTAAGTTGTTGAAACGTTGTTTATGTAATAGAAAAAAAAAAAAAGAAAAAAATCACAGTATTCTCCGTGGAAAATTTGGAAAGAAGCGTGGAATGGAATTATACGAACAACGAGCCAAGTATTTTCGCATTGTAAAGGAAAATTCGCCTAAGGCTGAAATTTTTTGATACACGATGCAGTAACGTGGATGCACCTGTGGTCAGGAAATCGAGAAAATATCTCCTCGGTTCGGCGATCGGTTCGCTCAATCTTTTGCGCGCGCCGCTTACTCCGAACGGTATGAAAATCAATTATTTCGTTAATTCGTGCGTTACATTGGCTGTCACGGAACCATCACTGTGAACGACAGCGGCCCAAGGCACTATTTTTCAATTCCCAATGTCGCCCTACCTTTTCGAACGTATTTCCGTCTGATACGTCCGCGTCATTTTACGGCCTTATCTCTCTGGCCAAGTTAAGCAGTAGGTTTTATGTTGCACGAGCCAATATTAGATAGGGATCAAGTACAATTACGATGAAATCGTCCAACAAAAGTAACAAAACTTTTAATACGTTATTCTGGATGATTGAGTTCATTAAATTTTAAAAATAGGAAATGACTGAGCATTTAATAGGTGTATTACAAATTTCAGCAGTTCTTTAGTTTATTATTTATCACAGTGTAATTTTAAATGTACTACATAAGAAGATCTTTAAGAGGTAGAATCTATTTGATCGGATGATACTTTAATTAAATTGCATTGCAAATTGTCTGGAACAAAATTCATGAATTTTGTAAATTCGAAATTTCTATATTCTACGTTTAGTTATTGATATCTGGATGTATCTAGCGAATTTCGAGAGGAACACGGGAGAATGAACGCGACAATCGAGGGTAGTATCCCATGACGTGA